TCGCAGCACGGCCAAACAGCCCGCGGGCAAAGACAGCAGCGGATTCGGGTGCGGACTCGACCCGGCGAGCGGACGCCCGGCGGAACACTTTCTCCCTGTGTTATCATGCAGAAAGCAAACAAACAGCGGCTCTGACAATGGGGCGCGGCGAGCGGCAAGCGGTCGTCTCCCGCGCCGGCCGGGCGTCACATTCCGCGGCGACGTCTGGTCCCGTCGCCGGCGGGCCTCCCGGATGCGCCAGCCACGCCGCGCTGGCTGCGCCGCCGCCGCCGACGTGGCCCGCTGGACAAGTGACGCCGGCGGTGTCTGACTGTGACGTCACAAAGCGAGCTTCCGTCACTCAGCTGATAGGAGAGGTCGCGCGGGTCACCGCAGGGTGGCTGCTGGCTTTCGTTGGCGGCAGATCAGGATGAGCATCAAGATAAACTGCCCTAAATTAGTGACAGACTTCACCGGGTGCCCAGAAGGATCCTTTTCATGAAGGCGACCAAGAATGGGCAGCTTCATAAAAAGTCTAGCAGTCGTTACCGTTAATAGTGGATCGCTCCATAAAAATGCGCTGAGCAGAGGTAAGCTTCCGAAACGAACGTTTACCAGGCGTTATCATCTTTTGCCCCAAGTGATTGACCTTTCCCTCCGGTTGCCCAAAAGTGTTTCATGACTACACAACTCTATGGATTAGCTTACATTATGCAAATAAAACCCGGCACCACTATTATCGCACCGCTTATCCCTCGTGGCCACGGAGGGTCGCCATAATCCGCTGCGCGAGGCCAGAGGCGGAGGCGGCATTCCTGCGCAGGTCAGAGGAACTGGTGACGTCGCAACTCAGTCCATGTGACGAGGTATCCCTACTACACAGCGGGGCGTCCATGGGTCAGACCAGAAGACCACTCCAGTGGTGCGGAGGCCTGCACCACTGACGGTCCAGAGGTCCGGTCAGCGGTCCTCAGGGGTCCAGAGGAGGTCCAGAAATCCGGTCAGCGGTCTTCAGCGGTCCAGAGGAGGTTCAGAGATCCGGTCAGCGGTCCTCAGGGGTCCAGAGGAGGTCCAGAGATCCGGTCAGCGGTCCTCAGGGGTCCAGAGGAGGTCCAGAGATCCGGTCAGTGGTCTTCAGGGGCCCAGACGAGGTCTAGAGGTCCGGTGAGTGGTCCACGGGACGAGGGCCAACCTGTGGCATCAAGCTACCTGCTGCTGCGGTTTAATGGAAGCTTCTTATTTAACCGCCGCAATTCCCGATGCGCGAAATCTCCCGGTGTTGCACAAGAATGCACCATGCCGTGGTAAGCTGCCTTGATTCTGGCAGATATCGATGGTTTATGGCATGGCTGTACATACCCACGGCCTTTACATTGCCCTGTTCAAAGGAGGGGCCTTGACATATTCATCACATACCGGGGCGTGCCGATCACCCGCGGACCCCTGCCGTAACGGCGCCACATTCCCCTCCCCTCTCACCCTTCTCCCCATCCCCACTCCTCAGCCCTGCTAAAGGCACCCATCGGTCTCTCTCTCAGCCAGGGAGAGGGAATCGCCCCAGCATCAGCTGGAGTCCGAGTCATGCCGTCAACGCCGGCCTGAACGGGTCAACCCGGTGGCAGCTCAAGGGTGCGTGACCGTGGACGGTGGGCCGTGGAGCGGCCCTGACCCGGACCCGCGGCTCTGCAGGACGTGGTCGGACCCGCCGGCCGCCGGCCGCGCCACAAAGGAGCGCGACAGGCCCGCCCCGGCCGGCTCATCCCCGTCGCGATCCGTCAGAGCGGCTTCTCGATGACGAAGATGGTTTTGAAGGCCGTCGCTGTCGCCGTGGCATTCCAGCGGCTGCCGCGTCGGCCTCTGCGGCCCGGGTTCGTTCAACCTCGGCGGCTGCGCTCCGGCCGGCGGGGCTTGCGCCGACACGCCGAGAGCGCCGCCTGGTGGTAGGGCCGCGCATCTCGGCGCTATCTGCTCGCGTGTCCAGCCGCCTGTTTCTCACTGATAAACGCATCACAAAGCTGCTACCTTTGACACTCCATGTAAATATGTCCCGAAAGCTCCTACGCTTTGCTGCACGATCAGCCGCGGGTGCGGAATCTAATTGTGACCTCATGATCAACTTTCTCAGGAAAGTGATCAGCAATGAAGATTTAACCTCAATAAACATCGCAACCTTGCTGCATCGGCCGGCGTTAATGGCGCCCATCGTCTTCCGCTGCCGCCGGCGCCACGTGCGACACGCCGCTCGGCCGCCGCCGGCCGGTACCTGCACCGTCACGTGACCAGCGCGATTGTCTGCACGCTCCAGTGACGTCACTAACGCGCTGAGGCGACCTTTACGAGCAGACGCTGTGAAATGACCCCACCGATGACTGGCGACAATGCCCGTAAACAGTCTACCTTCGTGCGCTCTGCAGAGCAAGGTGAATTGCGAACAGGCCGCTTGCATGCAACTGGCGTCTGGAAATTGTCGCCGATTTAAAAAGCTTTGTCTCCCAGGCCGACATCAGAATGTCCCTCATCCCCTGTTCTTGCCAGCTTACATCGACCCAATATTTTCATGCGTCGGTTCTGAAGGAAACACTTGTGTGCCGCAGACGCCACAGCCATGAAACCGCAAAAGCCGCCTTCCTCGCCACATCAGAAATGCTACTCTCGAGTCGACATAAGCCCACCAGGCCACTGCTGCCTATCCGGTGCTGTACGCGTCTTCTCCACATGGAATCACTCCCCGTGCGAGTCTCCTCCACCTGGGACTGTTCCCCGCGCGGGTCTCCTCCACCTGGGACTGTTCCCGCACAAGTCTCCTCCACCTGAGACTGTTCCCCGCGCGAGTCTCCTGCACCTGAGGCTGTTCCCGCACAAGTCTCCTCCACCTGGGACCGTTCCGCGCTCCGTGGCGTCACGGGCGCCCGCTGTAGTGTGGCGCCGGCGCCCGCGGTCGCCTAACTGTGCTGCTGTTGCACCGGTCGCGGCGGGAACGGCGTCGGCCGGCCCGTCCCGTCCCCAGACACGGTCCCGGGGACACGGCCCGCCGTCCGGCAGCGCAGCGGGGTCAAGCAGGCACTACTGAGATGAAGAGGCCGGAACCTCGCACCGCACCGGGACTCCCTGACCTGACGCACGGTCGGCTCTGCTGAGGCACCAGTCGCGTCCTACTCCAGTGTGTCACAGAACACTCCGGTGTGACGCAGGCGCAGCACATGACGTCCTGATGTCCAACAACTGCTGCATCCACGCGGGACAATACACATGCTACCGGCTGCCACGTCGGGATCTGACGCGTCGGCCGCGCGCGCGCCGCTCGGCCCGGCGGAGACGGCCGTGCGCCCTCGCGGCGCTGAAGGCCGACCACCGGGCGCCACCCGCTCTCTGTGACCCGTCGCGTGGACCGTGCGGCGTCCACGGGTCACGGGTCCCGACCGCCGCAGCCGCCGCGGTTTCGGCTCGGGCGTCACGTGATGCGCGGTCGCTGTCGGGAGACTCAACCGGCCGCTGCGGCCGCCGGCTGTGTCAGCGACCGGCCGCCTGACGTGACCACTTGGCCACGTGACCCGGCCAGCGGCGGCGCCGCGGTCGTCACGTGACGCGTCGTGACCGCTGAGGTAGCGTGACGGGTGAGCGGCGGGCAGCTCTGCGGTGGCGCCGGCGGACGACCGACCAGCGCGCGACGGGTCGCGTGTGAGCTGCGCGACGGGTCACGTGGTCAGCTGCGCGACGGGTCGCGTGTGAGCTGCGCGACGGGTCACGTGGTCAGCTGCGCAGCGGGTCACGTGGTCAGTTGCGCGACAGGTCACGCGGTGGGCTGCGCGACGGGTCACGCGGCGGGCTGCGCGACGGTTCACGCACGCAGCTTCTGTGGGCATCTGCGCCCCGCCCCCCTCAGCCATTCACCAGTAAAGCTGTTCGACTCCCTCGGAGCAGTAAAGACGGGCTGACGAGTCCATCGAAGGAAAAGACAGGTGGGGCGGAGGGACCCTTCAGAGCGGACGAGACAACCTCCTCAGACGGCAGTGCTCGCCAACCGGTTTGGCTGTATTGACAGGCGCAACTGTCCCCACTCGACAGAAGAAAAAAACAACAGCAACAAAAATCTGAGGGCACTCCAGCCTCCCATTGAGGAAACCGCAGACATGCGGAAAATCAGGCCTGATTTCCAGAGGCCACGCCTGTCGTCTGGCAGTGGGCAGACACAGCCTGAGGTGCCACAGGTCTGCTGCATGCTGCGCACGCCGAGCTGGCTGTCCGGGGTCGAGCTGGCTGTCCGGAGCTGGCTGTCCGAGCTGGCTGTCCGGGGCTTATACGTCACCGTATGCCCCAGCACCTGGCATACCAAGCGACGCTCGGCGTGCCGCGGCCAGCCAGCCATGAGCAGCGTGGCTTGGAAGGCGCCGCGTCGGCCGGTTTTTATAGCACGACATCGGAACGGTATCTATTTTGAATTGATCTTGATAGCCTTTAGAAGGAACGCGAATCAGTCCCGGTATTGCCGCACCGTGCACCGGCTGGCATATGAGTCGTTGGCTGACATCGCGTTTGTTCGATCGAAGTGCCAGGCCGCTGAGAATTTTAACCCACTCATCCCACTTCCCGGCCGGATTTCAGCAGAATTGGGCGACAAAAACACAGCGCGATATCCACAGAGATCCCGATATTGGACGCCTGCCCAACAGGGCTCGCCACAGGCTCGGGCGCCGGCTTCCATAGAAGTCTGTCTGCGACCACCCACGGGTACTGAATAGCTACGTTCGGCCTTCAGGCCAGCGTGGATTTATTGCTCTAGCCAGGGGTGCACCAAGCACAAACTTAGGAGGATAGGTTATTTACTGTCTTTGACAGAAAACTGGCCACCCTGCTCTGATATATCTGCATCCGACCGAACGTCTTTTTAACCTCTAGGCTAGGGATTCGTGTTCGCCACCCTCTTCCGGTTCCTGCTTCGACACGCCTCCAGTTTTAAAACGCACATATATTGGCTGGAGTCACGGACACCGAGGTGCTAGTACAATGCGCGAGATACTCACATTTGTAGCATGACATCTTGCATGAACAGACCGTCCACAAGGTCACTGTACGTGACCTCTGGATAGTCATCATCCTGGAACGTCTTGATCTGAAAGAGACATGGGTTCCGTCAGCTTCCGAGTGATCCAAACGGGTATCGTTGAGAAAGAATGTACCTGGTTGCACGAGGCTGACAGCTGGGGACTTTTTCACAGAATGTCGCCCCGCCGTAGTAACCGCATGGCAAGAAGACAGTCCAGACCGTGGGAAGTCCTCATGCCAGATTCGTAAATGCAGCCTGACCACGTGCACAAAGCACTCCCTCGAATGTCATGCCTAACGAGCGTCGCAGACCCCACAAAACCTTGGCCGCCTTAACGAACAAATACTGGCGCACCCCCGGCCGGTCATGAAAGCGAAGGTGAAAGACAGCCAACGTTAATCATGACCCAGCGCTGTTGAACACTCCGCATACCAGTGTCGTCATGCGACCTCACCCAGCCGCAGGTTGAACGTGGCCGGCCCGCAGCGGCCCGCGGACTCGAGCCTCCCGGACAAAACACCATCGATCCCCGCGCCGACACCCCATCTCGGCTGCCATCGGCCACAAGCGTCTGAACAGCGGCCCTTGAGAGCGGCTGAGGCGCCCCATGGACGGCGGCGGCGGCGCGTTAAATCCCGACCACAAGTCGAGCGACCGCCGGCCGGTGCGGCCGGGGCTGGAGAGGCTGCGGCAGGAGAGACTGCGGCCGGGGCTGGAGAGACTGCGGCAGGAGAGACTGCGGCCGGGGCTGGAGAGACTGCGGCCGGGGCTGGAGAGACTGCGGCCGTGGCTGGAGAGACTGCGGCCGGGGCTAGAGAGACTGCGGCCGGTGCTGGAGACTGCGGCCGGGGCTGGAGAGACTGCGGCCGGGGCTGGAGAGATTGCAGCCGGGGCTGGAGAGATTGCGGCCGAAGCTGGAGAGACTGCGGCCGGGGCTGGAGAGACTGCGGCCGAGGCTGGAGAGACTGCTGCCGACGGCCGACGATCGCCCACGTCGAGACGGCGCTGAGTCGCGGCAGGCGACGCGTCACATTCGCCGCGTGGCTCAGCTCTGCGCCGGCCTCGCCGCGCCGCGCCGCGCGGACCACTCTCGCCCGGCGGCGGCGGAAAATCGATGGCGGATTCTAGCCGCTCGATAAAATCGATCGGCGGTTTGGGACTGCGGGTAGCGTGATATAGCTGCATTGTTGGCAAGGCGCTGTTTTTGTTGTTGTTGCTTTGTTTTGCCCGTTCTCTCTAAGGGTTGGGTTACACCTCACCTCCAGAATGGGCAATGTGCATGCATGCTTCTTTTACTGGGATGGAGTAGACAGCAGTTATTCCGAAAGGAAAGTGTCAAGAGGGTTACGCAGGAAAATATCACCGGACATAGCCTTGAGATGATCGCAGTCTTACCAAAGGCGACAACCATGCAAGCTTTGAGGGCCGCCTTGGACGGTAGCGACTGGCGGGACGCCAAATTTGAATTTGCGTTATTGGTTCTAACGGCCTCCGTCTTTGTTAACAGCCTCCTGGTGTTGCCGTTTTAAGCGGCGCATTTTGGCTTACTGCACCCCTGTTGTCACATTTGCGGTTGTAAGTGCAAAAGCATGGGCGTAAATATCAAGAGAAAATTGGAAGATGTTTTGCATGTTTTACGTAGCATCAACGGTCTCAGAAAAGGTAAATGCCTTTTGCACTTTCGTTTCTTCATGTGCAGAAAAGCAAAAACTTGAAATAATCAGGCACCCATCTTTACCGCTAAACCGCAGAAAACAGCACCTGAGGGGCCTACTGCCCTTGTCCAAGAAATCCGATTGGGGTTTCTGTGAGGAAGGCCCTCAGACTTCTGAGGTCAAACACTCTGCGGATGCATCCTAAATTTATCAGGGCCCCTGGGAAACTCCTGGGAGGCTAATGCTTACCCCGAATGACCCTACGTTTACCCCGCGTCCACCCAGCATACGTCGGGCGTGTGCGTTACATCCGCACACGCTCCAACATTTCCACCCACGCTACGGCTGCGCGTTCGGCGCCGCCGCCCCTCGCGCGGGTGATGCAGACGTCCCAGCCCAGGGCGGAGCTCTGCCGGGGAAAGAGTCCGCAGCCGGCTCCGGAGCGGCAGGCGGTCCCGTGTCCACTGTCCGCGGGCAGCGGCCGTGGCGCCCTTCCCGTCCGGCCGGCCAGCGGCGCCCCGCCGGTCCGCCGGGCGGCTGGCGAGCGTCGACAGGAAGTGACGGCGGGTGGTACATTAAACGGCCGGGGCGACGGGCGCCGGCCGTCCGGACGGGGGGGGGGGGGGCGGGCACCGCGGACCAGCGTCGGCAGGTCGGGATCTGGCAGGAAATTACGACGGGTGGCACATTAAACGGCCGGGGCGACGGGCGCCGGCCGTCCGGACGGGGGGGGGGGGGGGGCACCGCGGACCAGCGTCGGCAGGTCGGGATCTGGTCATGTCATCGCAGAGGGGCGGGGGGGGGCTGCTCGACCACCGCCGGGGAGTCCACTGAGTGAGGCTATCGGCGCGGTGCATCGCCGCAGCACAGCTATCGTCGTTCCAACGTACACCGCAGCAGCTCTTAGCTCGAGCGAGTGAACGCGGCGCATATGGGCGATCAAGTGATCGAGGATCGGGCACAGGAAACCCTCTCATTAGCGGGCGAGGATCTCATGTATCCTCGCCCGCTATGAATGATGGATGAATATATGGATCCCATCGGAGACAACTTGAATAATAGTGCATGGTTAGAGCCCTGACTGTGGATGCATGCCGTGCTGTCATTGCCGCGGAGGTACCACGCTTCTTAGCGACAACATTAAGTCCGCGTAAGAATACCGAAAGAATCGACTTCTTGTCAGCAAGGGCCGACCACAGTCGTCCCCCGACATTCCAGCGGCCGGCGAGGTCTCGCAATCCTAGCACAGCAACGCGGATGCAGGAACGCAGTGGATGCATGGCTGTCTATTCACCAGCAAAAATTGCATAGCGCAAATCGCAGACCTCGACTGATCTCCAAATTGCGGGCATGCCTGTGTGGCCCCAGCTGCGTCCCTTTCCCCACCCTGCAAGGGGGAAGGTGTCTCGCCAGCCTGACATGATCAGGACACTGGCCACTCCCCCTGCCGCGTCACCTTCGATCCGGAGAACCTGTGAGGCCGCCACCACACGCGTCAGGCCGGTGGTGAGTGTGCGCCAGCGAGAGGCGCCGTCGGCCGCCGCCGCCCGAGCCGGTACCGCCCGGTTCCGGCCCTGGCGGCGGCGTGGGAGCGCCGCGCGGCGCCCGCGGGGCCGGCCGGACGGGACCGCGCTCTGACGTCAGCAGCCACGCACCGTCAGCGCCCGGTGGAGACGGCTCGTGTGCTGACATCCGGTCAGCCCTCGCCCAGAGCTCCGGCCCGAGCCTGGGCTCCGCAGGGTCGGCCGGTCAGGAGGCTCGGCGCTGACCGACCGGCCGGCCACCAGTCAGCCGGGTTTTGGGCACGCGATGGGTTTGAAGCGCCCGGCTCGTTCGCTCGGGCGCGCGCGAGACCGGTGCATGGGCGTTGGAGGAGGGACTCGGCCCTGTGAGCGGCGCGATTCTACTTGTTGGAGGGTCCGGCTGGGCTTCGGCTGCCAGCCAGGTCACAACCGTGGTCGGCGCGGTAACGGGTCGCATTGAAGGCCGAGTGTTAACGGCGTGGCGCCGCGAGCGTATTACCACAAGGCTACACCCAATAGCAGCACGATCGCGTAATGTTTAGTGACAAAATCACGTAAAAACGGGTCGTAAACCCACAGAGGCCGGACGGAGAGCCCATGTTTTTCCTACTGGCTAACGATATGGGCTGGAGTATTCAGGAGTTTGCCATGCATGGCGGCGCTAACTTTCGTGAAGGCCAGTCCGCGGCTCTTGGCACTAAACACCACGCAAATCCCTCCATGACCATCGGGGGCCCGCTGCGCAAGGTCACTGCGTATTTTTGATCCAATCCACATGCATGCCACGTTTACACGAAGCAATGCGCCACCGCTGCAGGCTCAGACCACGTCTGGGTCATGAGTGCGCGACCGGCAACACATGACCCAGTTACATGCAGGTGGCAGATGACAATGCGCAAATGGAAAGAGAGCATCCGAGTCCGGAATGTTGCATTCCTCAGCGTCAAACAACGGAACATTCAGCGCCAATAAACTCAGCCCTCATAGCTGAACTGCGGCAGTTCAATGCGGGGTTCAGCTGGGCGAGACAGTTCGGTGCGGGGTTCAGTTGGCTATTGCAACATAGATCGTGCCGTGCAAGCTATTGAGTTCGGTTCCGCCGCACCGTCGGGCCTATTTCCATATGCCACAATTGGAATCGACAGGCGGTTTGCAAAAACACGAAACCCGGGATACAGGTTTATGCCCGATTCCACTCTGCAGTAGGACCGATAAGACTCAGAATCTCGCAATATTTGGGTGGATTCTGACTCCGAAGGATGCAGCACAATTTTGAGTAGGCTTTGAACGCCCACCGGGACTCTCACAGAAGTCGATTCCACATTGTTTCAACACGAATATGTGAACTCGCTCACTTCAAGCTCATTGCGCCTTCACACGAGCACCGGTCCGTCATGAGAACCAGCGCGATGCTGGCAGCGCGGCTTCACGGGACCGGCTATTCGAAGTGACCGCCCCTAAAGACGAGCACAAACTGCACCACGCCGCCCGACGGAGAACTTACCCAGAGGGCAAGAGGCCCCTCCATGAACTCGTCGGCTCCGCTCTTGGCGGTCATGGCCTCGAGCAGTTGTCGCACGCGCTCCCGCCACAGTTTAGCACCGACCAGCGCTCACCGCCGTCGCCAGAGCGTCGCGCATCGTCCGCCACACTCGGCTGAGGACGGCCGCCACAGGACACCCCGCACGAGCCGTCCACTGACCGGACACAAAGGCTGGAGCACGGCACACCCGGCCACACGCGCACCCCCCGCCACGCTCGGACCGCGTCTGGCGGGCGTCCGGCCGGCCGCGCGCTGCCACCGGCGCCCGAGGCCAGGCGGCGCCGGCAGCGCCGGGATCGATGTAGTGGCCTGTTTTGAAAGTTGTAGTTTACGGTTTGGAAGATGGAGTGCGCTCACCCATCTGAAATGATTGTGGGAAATTTTGAAGATGCGTGTGTGCCATCGGCTCCAAATAAGTCCCAAAGAAGTCCAGAGCTGATTGCTGGACGGTAAAGTAACTGCCCAGACAATAATTTTGAGATTGATCGGGCTTCCATATGCATGGCATACATAACACACGTAACGAATACGGCTAAAGCGTTTGATTCATATGAGATGGGATAGCGTCTAACTTCCGCGGCTGATTTAGAGCCGAACGTTACAGATGAACATCCACAGCGTGTCAAATGTCAGTATGAGCCACCCTGCTTCCCTTGCTCACCACTTTATCCAGAGCCATTCGCCTTGTCCCTCCGGGGCAAGCCGCGGCTGTCAGCCACAAGTCGGCTAAGTACCCACCCGGCGAGAGCCCCGAACAAACGCCCGCATACAATCCGAAGACGGGTCACTGCGCGGGGCCGGCTCGCAGGTGGAGGCCATAGGTACGTGTATACATATCGTGCATCCGCAGAATGTCAGGCCCTTTCGCTGGGTCTGCACGCAAAATGACGTGTCGCCCCTGGCTGTGATTGTTGTTTCCTTTGGAACACACCAAGCAACTGCGGCGCCAGTGTTCTCCGATCGGCCTACACGCAACACGACATGTCACTCCTGGCTGTTAAGTGTTTTCAGTTTACCTTACGGAACACGCCAATCACCAAAACACCCAAATGCTTCTGCCTACTCTCAAATGAAATGCATGCTTTTGTGCCGCTTGAACACCACACCTTCCTCTTCAACACGCCTGCCTGGCGTCCAGCTGGCCGTCCCCGATTACCCCGGCTTTGGGGCGTCCCGACCGCAGTCACATATCGACCATTTCGACCTCCCCCTGCGATCACGCACCTGTAAGTTTGATGCGGCTCGTGGTGTTACCAGCCAACCTAGCGCCGCATTTATAGCTGGATATGCGTGACACAAGCTAACCCGGCATATATTGTGTAATGTATCCTCACCGAGCTGACTGCCAGACAGTGAAAACATGACGGTGGCATTTTATTTTCCGCCCATGGAAGGTACAGACAGCCGAACGAAACCAGAGGAGCACGCGGACGCACGATCAGTGAACGGCTACGCTTATGAGACGTGAGATGCACTCGCACGAACACCAGCTAGAACCCCTGAATGTGCCCATTCCACCCATCCAAAACGTCCATAAAATGCACGCTTGATGCCTTGAACTGGACCGAGTCTAAATCGCAAACGACACGTTAGCTAAGCCAACGCAGGAAATGCTGCAGCTTTATTGTTCAGTTCTACCCAAAGTCGGGCGCACATCAATTCGCTTCCGCTATCGCAAGTCATTTCGGGACGAACGAAGGCCACTGAAGCGTGCAGGGGTTAACTGTAGCCCGCGAAAACAAACTAATGTCGCCGCCAGCAAGGCCTAACTTAGCCCACGTGCCGGCTGAACGGGTCACACATCTCACGGCCGATGTCACGCCCCCAGCCGACGTGGAGTGGCGACAGTTCAAACCACCTGTGAATGTGCACCAACGCAGCTCAGTGCGTGGCTGCGCACATGCACGGCACGGCGCGCATGAAGTCGCAGGTGACACGCTTCAGGCCGGTCCCCAGTTGCCATCTGTTGCGGGTACGTCGCCAGGCCCACTATACAATTCGCGCTGCATGGAGAGCAAGATGAGATGCACGGGATGATCAGATGCGGGACGCTCTCGACACTGCCTGCCAAAGCTTCGGCGGACAGCAGCTGCAGATGTGGAGGACAAGCAGTGCCGGGATGCACAACCATACTGACGCCACGGCATCGGGCGCTCCCGGAAAACTACTACCAACTGCCACCATTTCCAAATGACGCTACGCAGGAAATGTTCGGTTGCAAGAGCTCATTTTTAAAGAACACGTCACATTTTCCCCTGGAACCGGGAGGTAAGCATATATCCCAGACGCCACCGCATCACAGCTCCAAGGCCCAGCAGGGGTACCTTTTCAGTTTGTACGTGCCCGCCTGTTGACGTCCAAACCACCGGACTATTACGGAGCGAAGGTCGGACTGGCCACACACCTCAGCTCTGAAACACTGCAAATAACGTCACAAACAAGGAGTCCCGACAGGCAGCGTGGGCAACTCATTCGGAAGAAATCTTGCATCTTGCGACCACATGTTTTGCTGCCAAATGTCTGTTCCTTTTGCCTGGTCACCATGGCATGGAACTGACGCATGTACCTTGTTTCGAATGACGTTTTTAAGCATGAGAGAACACTTGCTTCAGCCACAGCACTACGCTAAGAATGAACGAAACGCAAAGTAACGCTGATGAGAAACGACAATGCACGACAGCGCACGGGCGCCTTTCAGGATCCAATGGCCGACGGCCGAGCTGACCCGACCGCACCAGAGCGGCCCCTGTCGGGCGCCACAGCCCGGTCCAGTGCGACCCCGACCTGCGGCGGGGCTTACTGCAACTGCCGCGGGTCCCACTCGTTCCAGCCGCCGCCGTAGGAGTGGCGGAAGCGCGCGAACTCCACTGGCACCTCCTGCGGGTCCACCTCCACCTGCTCCTCCACCTCCTCGTACTCCTCTTCGTCCTCGTCCTCTTCCTCCTCGGCGTCCTCTTCCGGGTCGAACTCGGTGAGGAACTCGGCGCTGCGGCGCGCCGCCTTGCCGCCGCGCCGCGCGGCGGGTCGGCCACGGGGCGCCGGCACCGCCGCCGCGTCCTCGAAGTACACCACCGGCTCGGCGTCGGCGCGCTTCGCCTTCTTGGCGGCGGGCGCGCGCCGCCGGCGCTTCATGACCCCGCGCGTCGGGCTCCACGCGGCCGCGCCCACCGGCTGCGCCTCCACCGGCGCCAGCTGCTGGTAGCTCTGATCAGCCGCGTCGCCGGCGTCGGTCTGCAGCGTCGACGCGCGCCGGTTGCAGTTCTTGCAGCGCGCGTCGGCCGGCGAGTCGCGCAGCGCCGCGTCCAGCCGCTCGTGCAGCTCCGGCTGCAGCGGGCAGCGCAGCTTCAGTGTGCCGATGCTGGGCAGCGGCACGTTCATCTCCTTGCGCACGTAGTTGAATGCGCGCACCGAGCTGGCCTCGAGCAGGCCAAGGGCGCGCCGGAAGTCCTCGTCGCGCCACTGCACGCTGTTCTTCTTGTAGTCGCGCGCCAGCGCCTTCACCTGCGAAGGCGTGAACAGGCTGTGCATGCCGGCCTCGATCTTCTCCAGCTCTCGCAGCCGGTCGACGGCCACCAGCGTGGAGACCTTCTTGCGGCCGCGGCGCGCCTTGCCACCATCGTCGCTGTCGCGCTCGTACTCGGTCGCCATGCGCACCAGCTCCGTCTTGAGCGCGAGGCTCTGCAGGCGCAGCCGATGGATGATGTCGTCGGCATCGTCCGGACTGGCCGCCGGCAGGATCTCGTACTTCTCCGACAGCTGGTACTTGGCCAACCGCTTCAACACGCCCGTGTCGGCGGCCGGCTCCGGCTCGGCCGGCGCCACCGGCGCTGGCGCGCGCTCCACCTCGTGCCCCGGCTCCTCCTTCACCTCGACCGGCGGCTTGGCCACGAAGAAGAAGGTGCGGCCGGCCTTGGGCGTGGCGCCACCCTCCGGCTCGCAGATGACGACGGGCATCGGCGCCGTGTTGCCGTCTCGCTCGGCACCGGCGACGTCCGGGTGCACCAGCTTGGCGTACCGCTTCTCGGCCTGGCTCAGCTCCAAGCGCTTCTTCAGGATCTGGCGGGCGCGCGTCGCCGAGGTCGTCTGGCCTGTCGCGGGGAGAGCGAGTGAGCTGACGGTGAGCGCCGAGGGCCGCGCACGCTCCGCAGAGCAGCGCGCGCGTGGCCCTCCGAGCGACGCCAGCGCTGGGAAGTGCTGGCACTGATGACGGTGTTTTGAGCGTAGATACTGGGGTTACAACAGGCGAAGCATGCTAAAAATCGCAGGCGACTGCGGAAAAAGACGAAAACGTCGCCATTACTCTTGAAAGCTATAAACTGATAAATATCCAAATCAAAGATACATCCTGTTCTTCAAGTACCTGGCATTGCACTCCATACTTTAAGCATCCAAACTGATGAAATATATGAATTAAAGACGCATCCTGCTCCTGACGCAATTCACCCAATCCAAAGGACAAACCCACAAGCCAACCTGAGACACGTCCCACGAAGTACACCACCTAAAACATGACTCCACGCCTGACAGCTAACAAGACCGTGCCCACCCCACCCGGCCGCCTGCGGTGCCGCCGCGCAAGACGGCTGACGCGCGCTGGGCGACGCTGGCCCTCACCAGCGATGATGGCGGCCGGGGAGCGGAGCGGCGCCGAGCCGGCCGCGCCGCTGTCCGACGCCGGCAGGCTGCCCTGCAGACCCGTCAGCACGTAGCGCACGCGCGGGCTGCCGGGCGCGGCCGGCGCCGGCGCCGCGGCGGTGCCTCCGCCGGCCGGCGACACCTGCAGCGGCACGCTCGAGCTGGGCCGGACGAGCACCACGGCGCGGCCGGCGCCGGCGCGCGGGGAGGCCGGCCCCGGCCGCGCCGGCGACGCCTCGGCTGCCGGCGCGTCCCCCGAGGAGACCTCGATGTGATAGGAGGCCTGCGGCACGGGCGGCGCTGCCGGCGATGACATGTCGAACTGGGACGTCACTGGTGTGTCGCTGCTCTGCATCACTGGCTGCAGGTTTATATGCAGC